GAGCAGCATATCAAGTATTTCCCATAATCTTTAGACAACTAATTTCAATTTTAGTTCTTAACAGTTTTAACTAATGTTTTCACTTTCTTCAAGTGTAGCTCTTTTGTTTCAAATACACAGAGTCTATAAATTTGTTCAAAGAAAAATTAGAGTTTATCGTAGAGCCTCACAGAATCTAGGGACCTGCTATTCCTTTTCTGTCTCACAGGCCACATGGTATCTTCCTTATGGCATCTCAGCTTTCCTCTGTGTCTGCCCCCTGTAACTTTGCCATTATCTCTTTTTGTCTCGTGACTCTTCCTGTACATATATACATCCATGTATAACTTTAACATATTAAAGAGTTTTCCAATGTATTTTAATACTTTAAGGATATTATTTCTCTATATTCTGATTTTTATTTTTTGTTATTAAGAAAACCGATCTCAAGCTTATTTTTACTCTTATTAAAGTAATATGTTTTTGTCAGTAAATGGTTTTAAAATGTTCTCTCTATAATTGCTTTTTTGCAATTTTGCTCTTGTTTTCTTTGTATTAATTTTGCATGAGATCCACAGTGATTCTTAAATCTGAAGCTGGATATGTTTTATCAGTGTCATAAAATTCTCAACAGCATTATCTTTTTAAACTTTGATCCTGACTATTTGCTTTTCTCTCTCTTTCTAAAACTCTTGTTACATCTATCCCTGATCTTCTTGATATACTATTTATCTCTTTACTGCTGTTTTAAAATGCTCTTTTCATTCTTTTATTTTTCCATGCTTCTTCTAGATACCTTTGTCTGCTGCATACATTATGTAAGTGCTTCTGTTTGCATCTGTGTCTAACATAATGTTAAATGCATTCATAATTTTAAATTAATTTACTGATTTTTTTTAATTCGTGAATTGTCATCTGGCATATCTTTGTACATTTGTCAGTCAAAATTTTCAATCTTGTCTTGAAGTCCTTAATGATTTCAAGCTCAGCCATTTAAAATTCTGTGTCTCATTATTCCATTTACTGAATTACCTTAGATTGCATTTCTATTTCTATTGTTTTCCTTGGTTCTAAATCATGTAGTCTTATTACATACCTTGTTCTTTGAAAGAGTGCCAGGGTTTATAATACCGTAGAAATAATTTGAGGGCTAGAATGATTATATTTTCCTTTATAGAGAATATACTTTTGTACTTGCAGATGGCTACAGGCACTTGGAATTTCAGATCACATAATCCAATTCCAAGGAGATGAGCAGAAACTGTGCTTTAGTCCCTGAAATGACTAAACTATTTCTGATTAACCCTTACGCCTATCTTGTAGACCTTTATGACCTTACATAAAGCCTGAGGGCCTTGGATTCCAGTTTCTGTCCTCAGGCTCCATAATGCTGTCAAAGCTTTGTTCAGCTTCTCAACCCTTCAGCCACCTCTGCAGTAATCAGAAAATCCCCTAAGTAAAAAATCTCCTAAGTAAAAGCATTCTAAAATGATGGGTTCATCTCTTTAGGTTTCGTTCTTCTGCAGCTCTTTTATATCTTGACCCCATATCTCCTTATTAGCTTCTTAACTTTCCAATGTCTTCAAATAGTTTTTTTTTCCCAGCTTTTCTAGGTGTTTTCAGTGTCAGTATTATTCTGAATTTCCTACTGCACAATTAGTATTACTAGAAATGTCCCCTCCTAAATTACATTTTAATTAGGCTAATTAACAAGTAAATAAAATAGTAAATAACAGGTCAGATGCAATAAAAATGAAAGCTAAAAACAGGAGTAAAAATCATTCCAAATGCACTACTCACGAAAGTGCATAGTATTTTTTAGCTATTCAATAAATCATTATTGCTATTTAATAAGGATTTTTCTAGAAGAGAGGTGAAAACTGATAATAAAAATTTTTAGAATATAATTAAAGCCAGGGTCTGTTGATAATTATGTTTTTTAAAAATACTACTACAAGAAAGAAATTTCAATTTCCATTATTTGATAAAGATTTTATGAAGTGAGCCAAGGTCAAATCTTCTTTTGAGTTAAGCAACCAATGTATTAAATTAACTGGTGGCAAACATACACTTGACCCTTAAGCAATATGAATTTGAACAATGTTGGTCCATTTGCTTGCAAATTTTCTAATGCTTCACCCATCCCAAGATAGCAAGACTAACCCTTCCTCTTTCTCCTTCTTTTCAGATTACTCAACATTAAGACAGCAAAAATGAAGACCTTTATGATGATCCACTTCTACTTAATGAAGGGTAAATATGTTTTATCTTCCTTCTGATTTTCTTAATAACATTTTCTTTTCCCCAGTTTCCTTTATTATAAGAATACTGCATGAAATACATATAACATTTAAAATGTGTTGAATGTTTCAGTGACCAGTAAGGCTTACAATCAACATTAAACTATAGGTAATTAAGTTTTTGAAGAGTCAAAAACTTTTGGAGAGTCAAAGTTATACATGAATTTATGACAGCATGGAGTGTTGGCATTCCTAATTTCCACATTGTTCAAGGCTCATGTATATAAGGATTATAAGTCAAATGAAAAAAATAATCAATGGAATAATTGGAATTGCACTGAATCTACATAAGATCCTTGAAATAACTCAAAGATGAAATAATGGAAATTACTAAAGTAAGTTATATGTTACTATAAGTGGACATTCTTTTGAAGTATTGGCTGATTGACTATTAACTCCCTGTAGAGGCTTTAAAAGACGACCTGTAAACCAAATCATTTTATGTCATAACTGGCAAACTTCCTACAATTATATTCAATAATAGGGTTCTTCACTGAATAAACAACTCAACCTACTGGTATTTTATGAAGCTTATGTCAAAGGAAGTCAATATTATCTGGAACTATTTTAAGAAATAAAGTATGAACATAAAAAGAGGCTATTAGCTGGGTGCGGTGGCTTAAGTTTGTAATCCCAGCACTTTGGGAGGCCGAGGCGGGTGGATCACCAGGTCAAGAGATCGAGACCATCCTGGTTAACATGGTGAAACCCCATCTCTACTAAAAATAGAAAAATTAGCTGGTGTGGTGGTGCATGCCTGTAATCCCAGCTACTCGGGAGGCTGAGGCAGGAGAATTGCCTGAACCCAGGAGGCGGAGGTTGCGGTGAGCCGAGATCGCACCATCACACTCCAGCCTGGGTAACAAGAGTGAAACACCGTCTCAAAAAAAAAAAAAAAAAAAAAAAAGAGGCTATTTTACCTTTGCATTCTAAAAATTAAAAATAGAATATTTGTGACACATTTCTTTGATGGTTATCTTTTAAAACACTAAAGTTTGGAGTTTAATTAAAAAAATGTGTTTGATTATTTTCCTAAAAAATTTATATCAAGGAAACATCTAGCATCTTGATATCTTAAAAAATTCTATTAAAATCCAATGCTATATTTAGTAGTTCAGGCATATTTTAAGACTCAAAGTAGGATAGGATAGTTTCAAATCTAAAGTAAATTCAATAGAGCTTTCCATTTTGAGTTTTTAAGAGTAGATCTTGAGATGTTTGGCAACTGCTTAAGATGAAAACTGGAAAGATTATCACTCCCATATGACAAAATAATGGCAACGAATGCAAGTTTAGAACTTTTCTTATGCTTATCAGAGAGCTGAGGTTAAAAGTTAACCAAGTAACCGCAAATCTAAAAAAATACAGATGTGTCAAAGAAGAGACATAATGTGAGCACTTATTCATCAGAGACAAATGATGCTGGACACCATAAAACAGGGAAAAATTTTGTTTTTAAACAAATTGTTTAAGTGGCTAGCATAAAAATATAGAAGCCCTACTAGCTGCAGACACAAGAAATACTCAGACTCACTCACAGCTCTTCTCTACATACATCCCTAAATACTCACAAGGAAGATCAAGGACAGGACAAGAGTTCTGAGAAAGTGAACTCTCGTGATACAGGCTCAGGGAAGGCAGCATCAGTCACTACAATAAAAGCACAAAGCTCTGCCCAAATTCATCTTCTCTCTCTGTCTAAAAAAGTAAAAGTGTTCAACCACCTGGAAAGAGCAGACAACTTTGTTGCCCTTTGGACACTGTGAAGACCAACTGAAGCTAAGGGAAGGAAAAGGAAAAATATATATATATAAATTTTTTACCCTTGCAGTGGAGCATACATTTACCCTGAAATCAAACCATTAGAAGTCTACCACTATAGTGAACAGGATAGGACAAATGAGAATACCCTATACCAGACACCCAGGGAAACAACAGATGTCTCATACTGACACATAAACTGAAACCAGAAGAGCAAAGAACATTCTCTTCCCATGCTCACCACCAGGCCAACAAGCATGTTGAATCCCATGTAACAGCAGGCTATCTGAGAGCAGGGAGAGACAGTCTCTGAGGCATGCCCACGAAAGGAAGACCTCGAGGTGAAGGTGGAGTAGATAGTAAAAATAATCCTCTGGAAAACTAGCCCCTATTATAAACATAAAATAACACAGAGAAATTGAACACCTGTGATGCACTGAATGTAACCATGGCAACAACAGCTGCCAAAACCATACCCAATAGGAGAAGGTATATCAATATCAGAGACTTTAAAACAAAGGATTATCAGAGACAAATGAAAACATTAGGTAATAGCAAATGGTTAACTTTCCAAGAAGTTATAACAATCTTAAATGGATAGGTACCTATCAAGAGAGCTGCTAAATATAAGATGCCAAATATGATAGAACTGTAAAAAAAAAAAAAAAAAGACAACTCTACAATTATAGTCAAAGACTTTTACACTTTTCACTCAGTAATGATAGTGCAAATGGCCAGAAAATCACCAAGGCTATAGAAAAGCTGAATACCACTTTCAACCAACTTGGCCTAAGGAACGTTAGGCCGGGTGCAGTGGCTCACACCTGTAATACCAGCACTTTGAGAAGTCGAAGGAGGCGGATCACCTAAAGTCAAAAGTTCAAGACCATTTTCACCAACGTGGTGAAACCCTGTCTCTACTAAAAATGCAAAAATTAGCCGGGGCGTGGTGGCACATACCTGTAATCCCAGCTACTTGAGGCAGGAGGATGGCTGAGGCAGAAGAATCACTTGAACCCCGAAGGTGGTGGTTGCAGTGATCAGAGATTGTGCCACTGCATTCCAGCCTGGGTGACAGAGTAAGATTCCATCAAAAAATAAATAAATAAACTAGAGAACACTCCACCTAACAATAGCAGAACAGACATTTATTTCAAGTACACATGGAACATTCACGAAGAAAGAGAATATTTTAGGGATAAAATAAACTAACAAAATTTTTTAAATTTAAATTATTTAAACATACAAATCACACTGCAGAATACCTAGAAAAGCAATAATAGAAAGAAATATATATTTAAAAATCACCAAATATTTGTGTTATGAGTTGAATTGTGTCTTCTAAAAATTCATGTGTTGAAGCCCCAACCACCAATACTTCAATATGTGACCGTATTTAGAGATAGAGCCTTTATGGAGGAAATTAAGTTAAAATGAGGCCATTAGGGTGGGTCCTAATTCAATCTGATTGATGTCCTTATGAGAAGAGAAGATTAAGACAGACACCAGGCATGCATATGCATACAGAAAAGATCATTCAAGAGCACAGCAAGAAGCCAGTCATCTGCAAACAAAGGAGAGAAGCCACAGAAGAAGCTAAACCTGCTGACACGTTTATCTTGAACTTGTAACCTCCAGAACTATAAGAAATAAAATGCTAAAATTTTTTCCCATTCTTTTGGTTGCCGATCCACTCTAGTGACTGTTTCTTTTGCCGTGCAGAAGCTGTGGAGTTTCATTAGGTCCCATTTGTCTATTTTGGCTTTTGTTGCCAATGCTTTTGGTGTTTTGTTCATGAAGTCCTTGCCTACTCCTATGTCCTGGATAGTTTTGCCTAGATTTCCTTCTAGGGTTTTTATCGTGCCAGGTCTTATGTTTAAGTCTTTAATCCATCTGGAGTTAATTTTAGTGTGAGGTGGTATATATCCAAAAGACTATAAATCGTTCTACTATAAGGACACATGTACGCGAATGTTCATTGCAGCACTGTTTACAATAGCAAAGACCTGGAATCAACCCAAATGCCCATTGATAATAGACTGGATTGGAAAAATGTGGCACATATACACCATGGAATATTATGCAGCAATCAGAAATGATGAGTTTGTGTCATTTGTAGGGACATGGATGAATCTGGAGAACATCATTCTCAGCAAACCGACACAAGAACAGAAAATGAAACACCGCATATTCTCACTCATAGGCGGGTGATGAAAAATGAGAACACATGGACACAGAAAGGGGAGTACTAAACACTGGGGTCTATTGGGGGGAAAAGGGGAGGGCTAGTGGGAGGGGTGGTGGGGAGGGATAGCCTGGGGAAAAATACCAAATGTGGGTGAAGGGGAAAAGGAAAGCAAAGCACACTGCCATGTGTGTACCTAAGCAACTGTCTTGCATGCTCTGCTCATACCCAAAACCTAAAATCCAATAAAAAATTAAAAAAAAAAAAAAAAAAGAAATAAAATGCTGTTGTTTAAGTCACACCATGTGTTACGGAAGTCCTAGGTAAATTAGGCGACATATTTCTAAACAGCCCATTCAGTCTAAAAGAATATATCAAGGGAAATTAGAAAATATTTATATCAAATAAAAATGAAAGCTCAGTGAATAAAAATTAACAGGATGCAACTAAGGGAAATATACATTATTAACTGCTTATATAGAAAAGATGAAATGTGTCACATAAATAATAAAACTTCCAATATTAAGAACCTCCCAAAAAAGGAGCAAATTTAACCCAAAGCAAAAAGGAAAAAAAAAAAAAAACTCTTTAAAATAGAAATTAGTATAACTAAGAGCAAAAAAAAAACAATTTAAAAATTAATTAAAACAAAACCTAGTTCATTGTAAAGATCAGTAAACATGATATATTCTTAGACAGTCTGACAAAGGAAAAACAGAATAAATATATATTACAGATAAAGGAAATAAAAGACCCAGCATCACTGTAAATCCTATGGGCATTTAATGGATAATCAAACAATAGTACAAACAGTGCTAGGCCCATAAATCCAACATCTTAGATAAAATGCATAAACTTCTTGAAAGATACAAACTGCACTATAACTATTTTTAAAAGTGAATTGAGTTAAAAATATTTTAACATAAAAAATTCCAGGTAAGATTGCTTTACCTAGAGAGGAGCTTCAAGACGGCCGATTACAGGCATCTGGTACTCGCTTTCTCCACAAAGAAGATCTAGAATCGCAGGTAAATAATTGTATTTCAAATAGATCATCTAAGAGCGAAAACTGGAATCCAACAGAGAAGTGATAGAGAACACCTAAAGCGGGGAAGGAGAGGTAAGTGAGACACCCTACTCTGCCAGGATCAGCTGGGAGTCTGGGTAGGCTTCTCAACTAAGGTAAAAAACAGTAAGTGAGAGAATCCCAGAAGGCCACATGACTACTGCAGATTCCTTCAACCCTAGCCATAGGAGAGCCCCTAGACCATAACAGACCCAAGTCTAACAAAGGAAGCTGTCTGGAGACTTTGCAAGATAGCATTGTTCCAGAAGGGGTCCCACACCCCTAGTCCTAAGCAACCACAGCAGGTGCCAATTTGACAGCCCAGCCCCCAGCATACTGCCTCCTGCCTGGGAGCCCAGCAGCTCCTGTATCTTCATATCCATGAAGCCACACTGACATTCCCCATGTCCAGTCACCACCAAAGGTAGCTACTGCTGCCAGGGCTGAAGTACAAATCACTGGCAATTGCTCCACTGCCTACAGTGAAGCAGCCATGCATTTTCACATGCCCCAAGGACAAACTCCTCTGCCTGCAGACACTGCTGCTGTGGGCTGCCACCACTGGGGCCAAAATGTGAGTGAAGTGCATGCTACCTAACCACCTACATATGACTGTTGCTGCTCAAAACAGCCCCACCCTCCTCAGCAGCAGGGTTGTAATACAGCTGTTGATGTCTCTACCAGAACATTCCACTGGAGGCATGGGATATCATCCTGTCCCTGCCTGACACAGACACTGTCTGCATGCACCATCAGGGGCCAGAGGAAAGGTCTACCTAGCCCGGTATTGCCCCCAGTCAGGGCCCAAGCATAGCATCTAGGGGCCTGGGAACTGCCCAGTTGAGTCTGCCACAGTTTTACCTTAGCATTCCTCCTGGGGGGCTGAATTTGGACCCACCCAACCTGCCACTACCAACACCACTAGTACACACCTTCACATGTCACTGGTGGGCCTGGATACTGGTCTGCTCAATGCATTACAGCTGCCACAAACACCAGCATGGACCACTTGAGAGCCAGAGGCCTGTCTTGCCATTACTACTGCCATTGCTCATGCTATGCTTGTTTCCAATTGGCCAGAAAATGTGCCCACCCACCAGGTGCACTCCTGCTAGTACTGGCACCTGAGTAAACTCCTGGAAGATCAAAAATCAGCCCATCTAGGACCAATAACACTGGTGCCAGCAGAGGCCACCATGGGGACAGGCATGCTCAGCCTACTACTGCCACCACTGGGACCCAACGATATAGTGTATGCAGATCTAGTTACTGCCTCCATCAAAAATTTACCACAGCCTCCACTACAAAAACAGCCCACATCACCAAGAAAATCAGACACCACTGACATTGTTTAAAGCTGAAGAAATAATGCAGAGATTAAATTACTGCATGTACCATGAATCAAAGCCAAAGCACTCTTTCAAACCAATAGCACAGATACATCTTCAGGAAAAAGTTCTCCACTATAACAGACAAACAAAAAACAAATGGAAGAAGGAATTGTTACACCAGATGCACACATATCAACATGACACAAGAAATGTAAAACAGCAAGGCAATATGACACCTCCAAAGGAAAACAATAATTCTCCAAAAGCAACAGATTCTAATGAAAAAGAGATTTATAAAGTCCCAGAAAAAGAACTTAAAATAATGATATCAAAGAAGCTTGGTAAGATACAAGAGAATATAGAAAAAACAATATAAATAAATCAGAACAATTTGGGATATAAATGAGAAATTTATCAAAAAGATAGAATCCCCCCCTCCAGAAACTTTGTAACTAAAGAATTTATTAAATAAAATACAAAATACGTTTAAAAGCTCCAACAATAGACTAGATCAAGCAGGAAAAAGAAATTCGGAAATTGAAGACAGGTCTTTTGAAATAATCCAGCCAAACAGAAATAAAGAAAAAAGAATTTAAAAGAATAAACAAAGCCTACATGACATATGGAACATCATAAAATTATCATTTTTTTTTTAAATTTTCTGGTGTCCCAAGTGAAGACAAAACAAAAAAGATTTAAAAACTCCTACTTAATAAAATAATAGCTGAAAACTTCAGAAGTCTAACAGAAGATTTAGACATCCACATATTGGAAGCTTAGCGATTTCTAAACAGATACAATTCAAAAAGGTCTTCTACATGGCACATTATAGTTGAGTAAATTCAAAGACAAATAGAGCATTCCATAAATAGCAAAAGAAAAGCAACCTGTCTCCTTCTAACCCCAAGGAGACTAAGAATGGACTTCTCACCAAAAACCTTATAGGCTAGTAGAAAAAATAGGATCATATATGCAAAGTGCTGAAAGAAACAAACTGCCGTAATTAATGATATACCTGTTGTGAACTGAATGCGAGCCCGGGAATCTCGTCCAGCGAGAGGGTCCCAAACCTGGAAGAGAGCGCGTGCCGGAGGTCTGGAGGGCTACATGTGCTAGGCTCATGCAGCAATTTTATTTTTGCAATGTGTTTCATTATATAATTTTCTGAAGTTAAAGTTGTTTACGCCAGATTAACGTACTTAAGTTACAGTAAGCAAATTACACCCAGTAAGTAAGTTAAGCACAGTAAGTAGGTTACACCCAGTAGGTCAAGGTAAGTAGATTTCAGTCACGCCCTGTAAGCTGTGGTAAATAAATTACAGTTACGCCCTGTAAGTTACAGTAAGTTACCAAGTGTAAATATTTAAGTTAATATTTTGCAATGAAGGTAACACGGGTCCAAAATGAACACAATGAGACAATAAACCATGAGAAGCCGAAAGTAGACACAATGCCTCCCAAGTCCTCATATCCATAAAGTAATGTCTGTTGGTTTTTTTTAATAACATATAGTTCCTCTCTTGGTTCCTGCTTTCCCTCAGCTCGACTCCCCCAGCCGGGGATCTGTGTCCGGCTCAAGCTCACCATATGGTGAGGCCCATATCCTAGGGGCCTCACATGGGAGCGCTCCCCACAGGTCTCCCTTATATACCCAGTAATGTTATATTCTATAAATAAACAAGAAATGAAGTTTTAACCAGACAAGCAAAAGTGGAAAAAATTTATGACCAGTAGACCAGCCATACTAAAAGTGCTTAAGGGAGTCCTATACCTGGAAACAAAAGGATGATAGCTGCAATGAGAATACATGAAAGTGCAAAATCCGCTAATTAAGCAAACACACAGATAAGTAAAAGAAAGGAATCAAATGTTACCAATCAGTAAACCACCAAACGACTATGATAATAAGACAGAGAAAAAGAAACAGAAAATATACAAAACAACTAGAAGTCAACAAAAATAATGATATGAATCATTTTAATATCAGAAATCAATTCCTAATAAAATAGTAGGAATAAGTCTTCACATATCAATGATAAACTTAAATGTAATGAATTAACCTTTCTACTTGTAAAATACAGAGTGGCTGAATGAATAAGAAAATGACCTAACTGTATGATGCCTACAGGAAACTCACCTTACCTGTAAAGATACATACAGATCTAAAGTAAAGGGGCATAAAAAATATTCCATACAAACAAAAACCAAAATCAAGTCTGAGTAGCTATACTTTTCTGAGATAAAACAAACTTTAAGTCAAAACCTATAAAAAGAGGCAAAGAAGGCCTTTATTTAATACTAAATGGATCAATTCAGCAAGAGGATGTAACCATTCTAAACACATGTGCTCCCAACACTGGAGCACACCCAGGTATATAAAGCTAACAATACTAAATGCTAAAGGAGAGATAGACCTCAATATGATAATGGTTGCAGATGTCAACACTTCAGTCTCAGCATTAGACAGATCATCTAGTCAGAAAATTAACAAAGAAATACTGGACTTAAATTGGACATTAGACCAAATGGACCTAAGAGATATTTACAGAATATTTCATTTAACAACTACAGAACACATATTTTTCTAATTAGCACTTGAGAGTTCTCCAGGATAGACCATATGTTAGGACACAAAACGATTCTCAACAAGTTGAAAGGAAATCAAAATCATGTCAAGTATCTTTTCAGACCACAATGGAATAAAACTAAAAACTAATAAAAAGAGAAACTTAGGAAACTGTACATAATCATGGATATTAAATAGCATAGTCCCAAATGACCATTGGGTCAAGACAGAAATTAAGCAGAAAATAAAAAAAAATTCTGGAAACAACTGAAAATAAACAAAACATAAAACCTATAGGCTACAACAAAGTCATTGCTAAAAGAAAAGCAACAAATGCTTACATCAAAAAAGTAGAAATATTTCAAATAGCAATAACAATGCACCTCAAGAAACTAGAAAAGCAAGAAAAAATCCAAAAATTAGTAGAAAGTAAGATATAATAGAGATTATTATAAATAACTATACAGCAACAAACTGCAAATACTGGATATAAATTCCATAGCCACATACCACCACAAGATTGAATCAGGAAGAAATAGAAAACCTAAACAGACCAATAACAGGTAATTATACTGAATCAGTAATAAAAAATTATACACAAAGAAAAGTTCAGGACTGGATGACTTCACTGTTAAATTCTACCTTTCAAAGAACTAAAATCAAATTCTTCTCAAAATAGTCCAAAAAACTAAACAGGACAACATTCTCACTAACTCATTCTATGAGACCAACATTACTGTAACACCAATACCATCTAAAACACAAGAAAAAGAAAACAGGGCAAAACACCTGATGAACATATATGCAATAATTCTCAATAACATACTAGCAAACTGAGTACAACAACATATCAAAAAGATAATACACCGTGATCAGTAGCATTTCTCCTAAGAATGCAAAGTTGGTTCAACATATACAAACCAATAACTGTCATATATCATATCAACAGTATGAAATACAAAAACAATATAATCATTTTAATAGATGTAGAAAAAGCATTTTATAAAATTCAAAATTCCTTCATGATAAAAACTCTCAACAAACTAGGCATTGAAGGAACATATCTCAAAGCAATAAACGTCATATATGACAAACCCACAGTTAACATAATACCAAATGGGAAAAAGCTGAAAGCCTTCCCTCTAATAACTAAAATAGGACTGGATTTCTACTTTCATCACTCCTATTCAACATAGGAATCCTCTGGATGTCCTACCTAGAGCAATTAGCCAAGAGAAAGAAATAATAGACATCTAAATTTGAAAAGAGGAAGTCAAGTTATCTCTCTTTGCTGATGGCATGATTTTATATCTAGAAGAACATAAAGTCTCCACCAAAAAACTCTTAGATCTGATAAATAAATTCAGTAAAGTTACAGGATAAAAGTAAACATGAAAATTAGTAATGCTTATTTATATATACCAATGATGAACTAGCTGAGAAAGAAGAAGTCTAGCTCATGTATAACAGATTTAAAATATTTATAGCTAGGAATAAATTTAGCCAGCCAGGTGAAAGAACTCTACAAGAAAAACTGTAAAACATTGATAAAAGAAATTAAAAGGGAGACAAACAAATAAAAAGACATCCCATACTCACAGACTGAAATAATTAACATCATTAAAATAATTATACTACTCAAAGTAATCTATATTCAATGCAAATATTACCAAAATAGCAACATCTCTTTTCAAAGAAACAGGACAAACAATCCTAAAATTTGTATGGAATTAAAAAAAAAAATCCCAAATAGCCAAAGCAATCCTGAGCAAAAAGAACAAAGCTGGAGGCATCACACTCCCTGTCTTCAATACGCATTACAAAGCTGTAGTAACCAAAACATCATGGTATTGATATAAAAACAATTATATGGACCAATGCAACAGAATAGAGAACCCCGAAATAAATCCACATATTTACCGCCAACTGATTTTTGGCAAAGGCATCAAGAACATAATTTGGGTAAAGGATATCTTCTTCAATAAATAATGCTGGGAAATTGGATATCCATATGCAGAAAGATGAAACTGGACCCCTATATCTTACCATATGCAACAATCAACCCAAGATGGATCAAAGACTTAAATGTAAGACCTGAAACCGTAAAAGAGGAAAATATTATAAACACTCCAAGACATAGGTCTAGGCAAAGATTCTATGGTTAAGACCTCAAAAGTGCAGGGAACAAAAACAAAAAGAGACAAATGGGATTATATCAAGCTAGAAAACTGCATAGCAAAAATGACAATCAACAAAGTGAAGAGACAACCTCTTGAATGCAAGAAAACAATTGCAAACTATTCATCTGATAGGGAACTAATGTCCATAATATACAAGTAACTCGGACATCTCAATAGTAATAACAATAACAATAATCCCATTAAAAAGTGGGCAAAGAACATACATACACATTCCTCAAAAGAAGACATATAAGAGGCTAAGAGATATATTTTTTAAAATGTTCCATATAACTAATCATCAGAGAAATCCAAGTCAAATCCATAATGAGATATCATCTGAATTCAGTTAGAAGATTTATTATTAAAAAGACAAAAATATCAGATGCTGGTGAGGATGCAGAGAAAAGGGGACTCTCATGCTCTATTGGTGGTCATGTAAATTAGTTCTGCCACTATGGAAAACAGTACGGATAATTCTCAAAAAATAAAAATAGAATTATCATATGGTCAAGATAACTTACTAGTGGGTATTTATCCAAAGGTAAAAGAATTAGTATATCAAAGAAGTGCCTGCATATCTCTCTTTATCGCAGCACTATCCACAATAGCCAAGAGATGGAATCAACCCATGTTCATCAATAGACTAATGAATAAAGAAAATGTGATGTATATACATGTAGTGGAAAACTATTCAGCCTATAAGGAATGTCACTGTGTCATTTACAGCAACATGCATGGAACTGTGGTCATTAAGTTAAGTGAAATAAGCCAGGGAGAGAAAGAGAAATATTATATGGTCTGAGTCATGTATGGGAGCTTAAATAGTTGATCTCACAGAGGTAGAAAGTAGATTGATACATATCAGAGGCTGGGAAACATGTCCAAATATTATGCATCAACAAAAAGCAAAACATACAGAGAGATGGCTTTCCCCTTGCCAGTGAGATAAGGGAAGTAGTAAAAAGACAGTAAAAAAGATGACATATAATTGTCTGTATCTTCAAACATTATTTTGAATATAGAAATTCCTTAAAATCAATTAAAAAGCTACTAACACTAATGCAGAGTGTTTAGCAAGGTTGCAGAATACAAGAGCAATATTTAGAAGATACTATTTTCCCTTCAACACAGTTGATGAAGTATTTTTCTAATTAATATTATATAAAAAAGATTTTCAGTTGTTATTCAAAACATTTTATTCCTTTCCTAAGCCTCTTTTATAAGTAACTATCACCATAGTTTAATGCATCTCAGATTTAAATCTATTGGCAAGACCATGGTTCTATCTTCAAAACTTTGTCATTTTTCCTCCATTTCCGCTGTTACCATTCTATTTCAAGTCACCATTAACTCTCTTCTTATATTA